CATTTTCCGGCACCTGCCTTGGCAGGAGCAGCCCAAGCTACATTTGATACCCTGACTGGATCCATAGCATCATAATTTAGGCCCAGCAAAAGAAGTAAGGCACTTACAGCCAGGTTTAAAAAAAAAAAAAAAAGCTCCACAAGTACTATATCTTCTCTATCCATCATGGAAGAGAACTCCTCTAAACATTTACTCCTCCTCCCGAGGCTCTGGTACGGGAGGAGGAACTAGTGAGTCATCTTGGTACTCTTGAGTGTGGGTGAGGATGAGTACCTGTGTACTCGTGTACTCGTCCATGTAACCTTGAGATCCAAAGTATGGAAAGGAACAGGAGAAATACAGTGTATCAATTCTCTTCAAAAGTACGAATTAGCTCGTTAAATACGCATGAATATTAGGGGGAATTTTACATCAATTTTACGTAAAATGAATGTAAACATGCTGTTGGGAATGTAAACGGGAATGTCAATTTTGCGTAAAATTTACGTAAATTTTATATCACCGTTTACGTATTCCAGAGGTGACATTTCTGCAAACATGTTGAAATTATCTTCATGATGGTTTGCGTAAAATAGATATAAAATGGACAAAAAGTTTACATTCAGTTTACGTAAAATTAACATAAACATGCTGCTTGGGAAGCTTATGGGCCTATCTCAAGCCAGGTCCTTTAATTATGGCTGGGCCTACTTGGGCAGGGTTTGTGATGTCACCAACCCATCCACCCATCTACCTCATGCGTGTTTGGTCTATTTCAGTGCTTAAATTCATCCAGATCTGGACCTAAATAGTGTGGAAGGGGTGATAAATGAATATTAATTTTTTTGTCAGATATGAGTATGTGCCAGAAAAGGGGAAAATGCGAGAAAAATTGGGAAATAACTTTGATAAGAGAAAGCGCTAGTGAATCTTGGCCTCCTATAGGTCGTTAAAAATAGCGGTAAGCAGTAGAGACGTACATCATAGGTCTATATAATGTAAGCATACTCTGAAATGAGGGGGAGTTTCTTTACGTGGAATATAGTTGCAGGGAATCAGCTGATGAAGTAATATCTTCAGAAGTGAGGGAACTACAAGCTTTCCTGGGAATATCAAGAGGTCTATTAGTTAATGGCAGGTTTGGCTGCGATTCTTCCCATTTCGCATATGTGGATAGCAGTGGAGCTAGTGTGATAGATCTCGCCATGATAGATGTTGACTTGTGGCATAGGATAGGGCACTTTCAGGTGGTAGATTTCGAGGTCTCTGGTCACTTCCCAGTTATCTTAGAGATGAGACCCCTGGAGGATGAGGAAAAACGGCCTAAGAATAGTGCAAAGAATTTACAGAGTTGCTACTGGAATAGGTTTACAATGGAAAGAGTAGAAAGAGAAAGGAAGACTCCCTGGGCACAAAACCTATGGTTATATTGCACAAGGGCAACAGAAACCTCAACTTTGGCAGTTGAGAAAATAATACAGTTGCTACATTTTAGCCTGGCACATATGACTGGCGAATTGGGGCTGAGAGATAGCAAAAGTGTGATGAAAAAGGAATCTTGCACCTGGTTTAATGGTAGATGTAGAAAAGCAAGGAAAGATTTCAGATCGTGCCAACGACGGTTTAAAAGAGATCCTTCTATGCATAATAGGCAGACACTAATGAAAGCAAGGTCTACATACAAACAAGTAATAAGGGAAGAAAAGGAAAATGGGAACATCGCATTTGTAAGCAAGCTATATGAAATGATGGCCAAAAACAAAACAAAGGATTTCTGGGGCGGACTCCGTAGACTTAACAAGCCACATGCAGAAAATGAATTAGAAAAAATTAGTGCCAACAGGTGGGTAAACCACTTCAAATCCCTGTTATTCCAAAGGGAGACCTATAACCCAGGTATGTCGTTCATTTATCGCGAATTTTTGGATGGCCCCTTTACTAAGAAAGAAGTGGCGGAAGCCATCCAAGTACTCAAACTAGGGAAAGCAGCCGGTCCTGACGCCTGGCCCAATGAGCTCTTGAAATATATCGCACCGGATTTGCTGGATTTGCTGACAGCAATAGCAAATCGTTGTCTGGAAGAGGGGCGTTACCCAGATTAATGGAAGAGAGGGATGCTTGTACCCTTATTCAAAGGTAAGGGAAATCCCCTAGATACAAATAGCTATAGGGACATATCTTTGTTGTCCAGCTTCCATAAAATCCTTAGCAACATGATAGAGAAACGACTCGGGGAGTGGTTTGAAGGGCATGAGTTCCTATCCCCCCTTCAAGGGGGTTTTAGATCAGGGGGAAGCGCAACGAAACTTTACTGCTGGAAACTCTTATAGCTAAATACGTAAAACGTGGCAAAGGAGCCTTGTTAGTTGCCTTTGTGGATTTTGAAAAAGCATGACAGTGAACTGGGCTCTCCTGTGGCAAAAGTTAGATTACTATGGAGTTAGTTCCAAATTTTTAAATCTGATCAGAACAATGTACCAGGACACACGATACTGTGTGCGTATCAACTGCGGATGGGCCTCAGAAGATTTCCATGTGAATATGGGGGTAAAACAAGGATGTACACTGGTCAACATTTGAAGTGGATCACTATTATTATCCTTATTTACTTTTCTTCCATGTAAGCTATGAGTCTAACACCTATTGAAATCTTAGCCCGATCTTCTTAGGCGTATTATGAAACAATGTTTTGGCCCTTGCCTTAAAGGGATAAGGGAAACTTTCGCAAAATCTGTTCACCTTGAATAACGAAGAACAATCATAGTTAGCATTTTGACTTATCCAGTGTGTGCATTCAGTATCCTTGCTTTGCCCATTGCTCAGAACTTCGTGTCAGTGCTCAGGGATGTCTCTCCAGCGCCTAAATGTTGAGCAGTTGGGTCGTGCTGTGGGTTTACTAGAAACGGGCCTATCACAAAGAAGAGTTGCTTATGCTTTAAATGTATCGCAGAGTGTTGTGTCGAGAGCTTGGAACCGCTACCTAGAGACGGGTACTGTACAGTTCAGACATGGTGGAGGCAGACAAAGAAGAACTACCCCAGCCCAAGATCGATACTTGATTTTGACAGCCAACCGAGACCGATCTACCACGGCAAGATCTTTACAAGGACAGTTTTACAGAGCGACGGGGTTGCAAGTATCGACCCAAACCATTCGTAGAAGACTTCATGAAGGTGGTCTCAGGTCAAGAAGACCTGCCCGTCATCCACCGCTGACTGGGCGGCATCGTGCAGCTCGTTTAACGTGGGCCAGAGAACACTTGAATTGGGAACTTGATCGTTGGCAAAACTGCTTGTTTTGTGATGAGTCAAAATTTGTTCTTCGGCATGACAGTGGACGCTATCGAGTCTNGCAACCAAGAAAATAAAGTGGGCGGCTGATGTGCCTTAGTGACAGGAGTTGGAAAAAGTTATTCTTTTGGTAACCTAAAAGGTTAAACTGAGTAATTCTTTTTGTGTTTGTATCTCTAAAGAATATTTTGTAATAAATACTTGCAAAAAACTCAATAAGTTTCCATAGCACGATAAACTCATGACCTACCCAAGTGATCCACTTCAATCGTTGAGCAGTGTACTTTATCACCACTTTTATTCCTAATTTATATGAATGTTATTCTCGGAGAATTAACACACTGGGATGCCCACATGCCAAAACTGGGAACATGGGAAATACCAGGACTTCTGTATGCAGATGACCTCACAATCACATCTCTATCCCCAGTGGGGCTCCTAAGGATGCTAAACCGTTTAGCATCTTACTCAAAAAATGACAAGTTGAAAGTTAACGTACAGAAGACCAAAAATTATGCAGTTTTCGAGGGACACAATATGCAAGGCCCAAAAGTGTTTATATTTAGACCAGCAACTAGAAGTAGTTTACATTTCACATACCTAGGGGTGGTGTTCTCTACTAGAGGTCAATGGACAGATCATATGCATTCTCGTTGGAGTAAGGCCAAGCTGCAAACGCAGCTCTAATAAGACTGTTTCGGAATATTCCTTCCTTCTCTATCCAAAAGGCAACGCATATATGGGGTATGATAGTTGCAACTACCCTTCTGTATGGTGCAGAATTAGTATGGATTCCTGATATATGTACCTATATATATAGGTACATTGACGATATATCTGCTTGTTTCCTGAAAGGACTCCTAGGACTGTCACTCTCAATTTCCAATACTCTAATCTTGTCACTCTATACACCACCTGCTGTCAGAGTGTTGGCAGGGAAACGTCGCCTAGGATTATGGTTGGAACTCAGACAGGCGCCCAAAGGTTCTCTCATTGAATCCGCCCTGAGCGAAAAGTACAAAATTATGTTAAAAGGTAACGATTGCTGGTTGAGGTCAATCAGTGCTTTCTGCCAGGAATTTGTATATTTTTATGTTTGGCACTTTCGCACCCCCCACCAAGTCCTTTATAAGAGTAATGTTTCGTTCATGTCAGATACAAGCAGAGAATGAATGGCGGACTCAACTAGAAGCAACACCTTCTCTTCACCAGCTAAAAATGGCACTAGAGCTTGGATTGGAACGTTCAAGTATCATTGGCCTTGACAGAAAAGCAGGTCCCTTACCCAGATTTGTCACGGAAGCCTGGAAGTTCTCTTCCGTTAGTGATCCATGGGGCGAACACATGTGTCCCCTATGCACACACCAGGATTACATGGACCATCTACTTTTTTGGTGCGAAGAACTTGACGAATTGCAGAGACAGTATGCTTCGACATTCATTAATAGACCAGTATTACCAGTTCCTGCTTTTTTGTCAAGAGGAAATATAGAGGAAATCAATTCGTACCTGAAAGTCGCACTATGGAAGAGGCACACTACCTGCGCTAACATCGACGAGATATAACTGGCTATGGTCGTAATTCTCCCTCCCTCTTTCTGAATACCCCACTTATTTTATTTCTTGTGGTATTTTCTGTACCCTCTTCGCATCTTATGCCCTCCTGGAATATTGAAAAACCGAATTATAAAGTTTAAGCTTTATATAGACACAATGTTGTAGTTTGCATGCCTTACCAAATCCTTGGACGGGTAAATGTCAATCAATACTTCTGAATATGTGTTTTAAGTATGAAATTTCTTTACTATTGCTATTATTAGTAGTATGATATGTACTTTGTTCTGTAGCACACCTTGTAGCCGAATGCGTAACCAGCAAACCGGCAATAAAGTTTGATTGAGTTAAAACTCTCAAGTGGCTAATGTGGTTCATGTGGCTGCTATTACTCACTTCTACTTTTTTAGAGATTCATATGCAATCAAGAGTGTGTCGACCATAAGCAGGAATTGAATACACCATTAGAACATTAAACGACCCACTCACAAATGTTACTTGGTGATCCTCATGCTACAAGTCACATGGCGTTACTAAGAATATGTTCTAAGAAACCTTTTTTTTTAAGATATCAGAGCCAAAGGTTTGGGAATTGAACTCGTGAGCAAAGGAGTTTGACCGCATTACTAGGGTTGAGCATCGAAAACGGATGCCTTAAACTGAAATGCATTAGTAATTTCCTAATAAATTTTCTTTATAAATAATTTCCTAAATGCATTAGTATTTCGTATACAGGGTGCGCGCAAAATTGTTTTCACATTTCATTCATCTGTATTTTCATTATTTAATATGATAGAAAATTGAATTACGTGTCATCTGACAGGCACGCTCAAAGAGTTTTTTCAACATTCAAGGACATACTCAAAGTGCTCACCGTTCCTTTGGATAATCTGTTTGTAACGTACAGCAGTGTTTTAAATAGCCTTGTTCAGTGTGTCTTGCGTTATGCCTCTGAGTGCAGTAACCACAGAACGTTTGAGTTCATCAATGGTGTGTGGATTTGTGGAGGACACCTTTTCTTAAAGGAAACCCTATTTAAAAAATTGGCGGTCTTAGATGAAGAGATGTTGATGGCCACTTGATGTCCCTTTCATGCTCATAACGATTTCCCTTGAAACTTATCAACGATCTTCACAATCGTTGGACTTCATGGAGGTGCTTTATCAGGAAGAAAACAGAGCTGGGGGTGTTCATCGTGCATAGACGAATTGAAATACCTTCACCTGCTTCTGTGAAGAGAGAATGCTGACGATGGCATCCTGATATAACATAAAAATCAACGATTACAAATTTCGTCGATTAGTTTGAAGAGAAAGCGTTATCAATACGAGAGGGGATATTCCGTGACTAGCACCGTCTCCAGACGGGCAAACATTTTTTTTTACAATGGGGGTTCCTTAAAGAAAAGGTGTTCTCCACAAATGCACACACCATTCATGAACTCAAACGTGCTTTGGTTACAGGGTTCGGAGGCATACCACAAAGGACACTCAACAAGGTAATTGAAAACACTGCTGTACGTTATGAACAGATTATCCAAAGGAACGGTGAACACTTCAAACGACTCTTACAACATGGAAAACTTTTGGAGTTTGTCTATCATATGCCATGTCATTTAATTTTCTAACTTAATAAATAATGAAAATACAGGTTAATGAAATGTGAAAAATTTTTGTGCGCCACCTCATATATGATAATACGACATGGGCAACGGTGATGCTTCTGAGTACTTCTGAAGGTACTTCGAGAGTCCCAAGCTCCAATACCCTCCTGATTTCTCCAAGTCCAAATTCTATTGCGTCTGATTTTACCGAATATTACACTGTCTAAATCTCTCGAGGATAGCGGAGTTAAACAGATCCAGACAGAAGCAAATGAAGATAGACAAAGGCCAAATGCCTCTCCTATTCTGTGGACAAAGATTTTCTAGAAGAAGTTCCACTCATTTCAAATGAGGCGTGTTCCTTTCGATTCCCTCGATATAGGAATATTTTATCGGCTGTTAGCTGGCCCTAACAAATTTTGTGGAGCTATGTTATCGATGGGACCAGGAAGGAATGCAATCGTATGAGATTGACTTACTGTCGATGATAACCTTATTACAATAATTGACACAAATAGTATGAGGTGAGCTAAAATAAAAAAAAAGACGGAAAGTGGTCCTATTAAACGGATATCCCCTGTATCCTTAGTCAAAGGAGACCAGTAGTGGAAAATCGAACCTACCGGGATTTCAGTCACTTCCCGGATCGGGTGGGGAGGAGGTGGGAATTATAATGGGAGAGATGAAATTGACCTAAGTCTTAAACCAAATAAATTGCACGAAACCGCTCGCATCGAAAGGTGGACGAGTCCGAGAAACCATCCGTTTCGTCGCGCAACTGACGGCAAGAGGATGAGGCACGGGAAGAGGATGATCCGGGAGGCCAGAAAGACGACGGTGGTCAGCATGAGGAGGATGTTGCTCCAGTTAGGCTTCGACAGGTGTTTCATCGCCTTGCTGGCCTGGAAAGACAGAGATCCACCGACATCATTCTTGTGTTCTGTGAGTGAGGCTTTCATGAACCGTGAGTGATGGGGACAAGGATGTTCTACAAAGGCTTCATATTTCCATAGCATTAATTTTTACGATCTGGTAAACCTACATACATAGTGACCCATAAGTCATTACACATTTTCAACTGCAGTATTTTCCAAACTGCTACAAGGTCAGTGTTGTTGGTATTAATGGAAAGAACGTTCTTTAGAATTTCTTTTTCTCACGACAATGACTCAGACTCAAACAGAAAGAGCTTCATATGCATATCAGAAAGGTGTACTTGTTTAGGGACATTTTTGGCCGACTTTGTTGAATCCTCTTCTACGAATTTTCTAAACTTCATGTTTTTCTCTACTAATTCAGATATATTTGAGAAACATGAAAATATATTATTTCATTTAATTTGCTTTCATTGTCATGATAAAATACTTTACAATTGACGCTGGAGCAAGGAAGAAAAGTGAGTCGTTGTGAGTGTGGTCATTGAGATTCCCATCAGAGTTCAAAGGAGGTTTCGGCGATTTTTTGGTGCTCAACCTCATGCCAAATGTGTTGATATAGGCAGGGTGCATTTTGAAGCACTTTCAAAAAATCAGAAATATCTTCATTTTTTACAAAGATAATTCCAAATGACATGCTATCTTTCAGTCGATGTTACTTCTTTTTTTCATCAACTGTTTAGTAAATGTAATTTTTTAAAAACCAGTATAGTAACTTATGGAACACCCATTTTATTACTAGCGAGTTTGTTTGCCGAAGGACAAACAAACTCTCTATGAGAACGCGCCTTCCGCGCTCGAAAATGCCTAATGCATTTGAGTGATCTGATTTCAATTCTCACTCATACCAAGGTGGTAAAATTCCTTGGGTCATACGTTTTCTTGGAAGATTTAATTTACTTTTGTTTGTGTGAAGTTATTGCAAGTCCGATGTCGCAAATCGAAGCCAGCAGAGAGTCTTTGTTTCATCAAAAAAGTCCTCTTGAAGTTCATCTATCAAACAATGGCCCTTATTGCAAAACTGTATTGTAAGAGTCATATTCCCTTAAGCGAAAATGTATAAGGTCACCCATTCTCCCACACCAAAAAGAGACCTCGATGATAGCAGGACCCCCATTGTATGATTTTCCCTGAACCCAAAATTCTCACAAGAAATAGGAAATTGAAAATCCATATATTTCCCAGCTTTACTGCAGCGAGAAAAAGAAAAACATGTGGCAAACCGATATGAAAAAATATACCCTAAGGAAATATTTTCAAAATGTAGAATGTTTCTTAAAAGTATCCACCCGTCTGATATTTCCATACCATGCTTCAGTTTTTCACAGCTGCCCGATTCACTGTAGCGAAAATTTTTCAGAAACGTCTTTACTTAAAAATATGTGTCCCGAGGGAATCACCTCAAAAGTTTAACTTTCATTGAAGTCAACTTTCCTAGAACTACTTGTGCACACAATTTACGGTTTTAAATGTTCCTGTATTACTGGGACAGAAAGTGCCATAGGAAACGTCTCCCCAGAAATATATGCCCCTTGGGACTGTATCCCAAAAGCATGATTTTTCCTTTATTCACTGTATATCAACAGGCCAATTGTTATAAAAACAAGTTTCAGACTTTTGTTACTCTGTTCCATGGAAAATTTTTCTGAAAATAATTCCCACTCACAAAAGTTCTGAGTCGGTACGCTTGTAAATAAAAGCTTTATATGAACTTGTACCGCCAGAAAATGTCCTGTCATAAAATTTTGCCTCGAGTTGATGTGCCTCACACACAGACCTATTTTTTTTTAAATTAAAATCGGTACCTGTACGAACAAATTGCCCTCCAAAGTTTAGCTTCTGAAGCATATAGAAAATACGCGGCCCATCCTTTGACCTCTTCCCCAAAATGGAACAGGCTCAGAAGCCATCCGTGACGTGAACTTCTTGCAATGGGGCCCTGGACGTTCCTGTGGGAACAAGATGTTGTACCCAGAGACTTGATGCAGGATGCCGAAGGAACCATTCTGATCAGTTTACAGTCAGTTCCACACCAAACCATCCTTTGCCCTTTAAAATCGACCCACTTGTATTATTGTATCCATACGGGGAGTTATATAGGTTGGAAAGAACTGAGGGAAAACTTCGAAAAACACAAAATTACTTCATCGTAAGAATCGCACAACCCTTTCTCCGGATCCAGTGTCCTGACAGGTAAGCCCATAATTTCCAATAGTTACAAACAAGAAGACGCCAGTATAACTCATCCTCATCATATACGCATCATGTCAGGCACGCCTTCCAGTACCTCCCAATCGCGAACCTCCACACAGTGAATATCTGCCAATAAGGGGTCCCGTCCCGAGAGAAGGCGGAACCTCCGAACTGGGAAGGGAGCGGGGATATTGGCAGAGAAAAGAGAGACTGGAGGGAGAGTGTGGTTGGAAAAGGCAGAGAGTAACGTGTTGGGTAGGCCTGGGAGGGAAGTTTGAGGACTTAGTCCATTTTCGTAGTTTATAGTTCACTGGGGTAACTTTTCCTTGGGTTCGCGGCCATTCCTTCGCGGGTGTTTCTTGTGTTGTGTCTCTTTGTGTGTTTCTCGTCCTTTCTTTCTTTTCCTTTTGGGTTTTGTCTTCATGGGCTTGGGATCGATCAAGGAAGTAGAGAACGGGAAAATAAATTCCCCTTTCTTTTGAGAGTGAAAAGGGAGTTTCCTTTACTGAGTTTGCTGGACCGAACCCGAGACCTAAGAATCCCCGTCACGTATTAATGTTGGGACTATCCTCACTTAAATACGCGACACTTCCTATGTCAGCCCCATTTTGTTAAAATCAATACATTTCTGGAAAAGGTCCCTGGCAAAAAAAGATCCTGAGGGAATAAAAGTTAACATTTAAAATTTAATTTAAGTTAGTGCCTCGTACCAGTACTTGTACATCAAATTTCCTCTTTAAAAATTTGCCCACTTTGATGGAATCACTTTGATGGAACTAAAGATATTATCTAATATATTTAGACGATCGTGACTGGCTGACTGAGTGAGCGAGTTACTGATACTAATTCTAACCATGTTCTAGGGAAGTTGGAAATCTGAAACTTGGCACACAAGTAGCTACTGGGATGCAGAGTTCAGAAAAAAATCCGACTGTGTTGGTATATGCCCTGAGGGCACATTTTTCAGCGAGACGTTTTATTCAATTTTTTTTTCAGTCAAAGGGAGTGACATAGAAAGCTGAAAATGAATAAACGTGGTTAATGATACGCTAATTTAAAAAAATTTCACTTTAAAGATGTATCCACTTGGAGTATAATTTTTGTAGGGGACGTTTTCAAATAAATAATTTTGGCATCAGCCAAACGGACTCGCAAGTAGCACAAGAACTTTCAAGAGGACGTTCAACCCTGGCTCAATGATGTTCTTTGACGTTCAAGGTTCAAGGATGAACAGCTTTTGGACGCTCAATTAAGGTGCAGTTTGATCAATACATGACGATCAATAATTAATTGTTTATGGTGCGCGAAGGCGCGTTCATAGCGTATCAAATACGGTATCAAATATGTATCAATTAGGCGGTAAATCTGAAAGTAAATATTAAAAAACATCGATGTCAGAATATGGAGAAATACTCGAGTACTGAATTTTGCCATTCTCTGTCTGTTTCACTGAGGAAAAAACATCCAGAAAAATTCGTGACCGCCGAAATATATGCCCTCAGGGCCAATACCTCAAAAGAAAGATTTTTCTTGATTTCGGTTCTCCCAGTACTACTTCTCTACCATATTTCAGTTCTCTACATATTGCTTTGCTGTAGCGGAAAAGAAATTTGGCTGCATTTCCCGCCAGAATATGTGCCCTGAGGGAATATACCTCAATGTAGCATTTTCCCTGAAATTGGAATTGCATGATTACCATATGTTAGCTTTCTATTTTGCTCATATCGCTGAAGCAAAAATGTCCTTGGGAAGAAGGTTCAGCAAAATATTGTGCCCTGAGGGTATAAATATCAAAAATTTAGTTTTTATCATGCTCAACCTCACAATAGCTAATTCTATGCTTTCACCTTCAACTTCTGCCTGAATCGCTCGAAATTCGTGACCAAAAAATATGCCTCCATGGGATGAAAAGTAACATTTTTCCTGAAATCAGTATATCAATGCTTTCATGTCCCTCCTTTTGATTGAAGCGAAAAGTAACTTTGACATCGTCTCCCCAAAATAATATGAAGCCATTTAGAAACCTTTTCAAGACCATACATTTTTGGGATATGTTGAAAGGCTTTACTGAAATCTCACAAATTGTGAATATTAGTAACTTAACGGATTTATTCACTTTATTGATTCAAGTGCGAATCGATCACTGAAGAAGACAGACTCTTTTGAAAAGTGGTTTTGCTTCCGTGTAAGTCTTCCTTCCTCTGGCCTCCCTCCCTCTTACCTCCATCTTGGTTTATTAACTGTAAAAATAAAAAATTATTTAAAGACGGGAAGTTTCATGAAGCCTTGCCAACTTCGTGGAAAGTTCGTCCTCGTGCAGAAAAGTGCATTGGCAGTATATAAGATATGTAGACGCTGCATTTCCCTTCAATCCATGAATCATTCCTTCATCATCCTCAATCGTATGACTCAATATTCTGAATTTTTAAACTATCGAGCAGAATACTTGAAGCCCTCTTTTGGCAACTTTGGGAGACCTTCCCAGGTATCATACAACATTTTTAAAAATATTTTCCCCCCATATAAAATTTTCACCTGCCTTCCGAGGTAAACATGGACGGCGACTGACCAAAATGAGCACAGCATGTGGATTGTGCAGCAGCAAAACGATGGACCCGACGCGATGCCCATGAATGCAAAACGATAAGACCAGCAGCACCAGCGTGACGGTGTGATGAAATAATTCCACCCAAAATTCAGTCCGCTTCCTTTCCAAGCCTTCGGACTCCAGTAGGAAGATGTAGAAGCCCATCTCCACAAGGTAATACCTACGGATGTCCTTCGGCAAGTCCTATGATGGAATCATTGACAGTAATAAAGAAAAGACGAATTCATGACAAACTTGTGGAACCGAATATAAACAAGATCACGAGGCGGTGAATACAAAGTCGTGACTTCCAATCAAGTAAATTACAAGCAGAATCCACCTCTCAACCAAGTACAAATCCAGAAAAGCTCACATGGAAGGGGAAGTCCACGAAGCAGAGCCTGGAATCCCACAGCCAGTCCTTCCCCCATAACACCGAGAGCCCGTAAAGGAACATGCAGGCGTAAAAGACGGTCCTCATGCTAACATCAGAGACGTTCATCAGTGTAGCGAGACGAGGCGGATCGCGAATCTATGGGATTCCACGAACCTGACATCGCTGAATTTGGAGAGCGCACTAATGTTCCTCTTTCGGATCCGATGGTGATTTTCTACGTGATTCTGGGTAAATTTCGTGACGCCGCTGCTATACGGATCTGATTTTTGTCCATGATTCGCCTCTTTAGGACGCAGGCCAGCCGCAACCCCGATCGGGTCGAACACAAACCTTGAAGGGAGTGATTGAAAAATTATTAGGATTATTAAGTAATAATTTAAAATTGGGGTTCTGGTTTCAGGAAAGATACTATTTTAAGGTTCGAGGGTTGTTCCAAAAGTTTTGTAAGTGATACACTTTACATTTTCCAATGGCTGTGATTTTAATCCTGTAGTTTCCGTTGAATCTCTGTAGGTTGTAAATTAAATTGCAAAAATGTTAACCTCGTATAGAAAAGCAGAAAGATTTCATTAGAATGGTTCGCTATCCGCTGAAAAGGTTATGGCTTAAGCTTCACTTTTGGGAAGAGATCTCCTGGTCCGAAACTTCTACAACCTCAAAGAAGGTTTAAATGAAGTAATGTGAAAACCAATTCTCAATGGCTTTCCCTTTCTTCAACCCTCCCACCCTTCCCTACGGGACTCACTATCGTTAGACCTAAGTCTAACCAACAGAATGCCTTCAGTCACGCCAATGCTTACCGTTTTTCTTTCAAAAGAAACTCAATTCTCGACTTACGGGGCCAATTAGCTATGTAAGGGTGAATCCTGGTCCTCAAGTCATTAATAAAGGACGTTTAACGTCAGGTCAATCGCAGGCCTATATATCATACTTTCACGAACCATTTCAGAGAGGAGGTGTAACGCTAGACCGATTAGAGACCTGTTTCGCGTTTTTTGAACCATTTCAGTGCAAATGTGTAACGCTAGGCTATCTGGAGTTCCTCGAACCATCTCAAATAGGTCTAAGGAGGGAACACCTCCAGGAAGCATGATATGCATGGAGCGCCCAATCCTATTAATTCAGGGATGTCCGGATGAGATATCTCCATGTTCCACCACATCCTCAGTCACTGCTAACCACCGCTTCATTCGCAGCTCATCCTATGAACTCAGCACAAAAATGTCTCATACAACGATGGTTGAAGTATTCTTGAATCTGGCATAATGGATGGTTTCAGAGACGATAAATAATCAATGCACTTGAAACAGAAACCCTCGTATCAGTAACTGAATAATTGCATGCTTTGTTTCTGGTTCATAGGTTTATGTTGCCTGTTGTACCGAAAGAGACGCCAAAATATTTTCCCTGTAGATGGGTCTGACTATCGATAGACCCTGTTCGCATCCGAACAAAAATGTTCTGACGCTCGTGAGAAAGTTACAATCAGTGTCCCTCTCCATCCTATGAGCCAAATTTGAGGCTGTATTCTTCTCCTTCTTAGAGGATGTTCTTTTATGCATGTTATTCCGAAAACTTGCTTTCACATTATCACAGACAGGTCAGAGAAGAGAGAACATCCTGAATAAAGTCGTTCTTTCTGTGATGAAGACAGTGTTGAGAGGCACGGATGAATGTCCTGGGTACGATTGTGTAATGGAAGCACATCTGACCGGCAATCAGGAGGTTCAATTCCCGGCCGTCCCCTGGTGCTTTCTTTCGTCCTCTCCCTTCAGTTCTTCTCATCACATTTCCATAAGGAATTAGGAAAGAATTTGTCCTTCACTGTCTGGTTTCTCATTGCCTCCCCTCTACTGCCTGGATATGAATTCCTTTCGGGGGACCCTCGCCTCATCACGTCCAGGAAGGATGTTCTCCCTTCCCAGCCCTCGGGTCCTGAATGGCTAGGATGTTGCTCTGTCTCGGCATTCAGCAGTCCCTTCTTCAGCCTGTTGTAGCTGACGTCCGAGTCGATCGATGGTTTATCCATGATCTTGGGATGCTGGCCGTGAAGCGGTTTCTCCTTCCATCGTGCTTCTCTTTGTCCTTGATCTGCTGTTTTCACATCCGTCGTGTCGCAGTCGTCATGGAGATGGAGTGCGTTTCGGAAGCGGGTGGCATCTCCCTGGATGGAATGGGACTTCTTCAGGGCATCTCGCTCTCTCAGGATGGAAATGATTCTTCCCTGCTTCCTTTCGATGTGTCTGGCGACTTCGCACGTCGTCCGCTTATAGAGGGACTCGAGTTCGATGAGTCCCCTCCCTCCCTTGCATCTCGGAAGGTAGAGTCTTTCAACGGCAGCCTTCGGATGGTGGGTGTGATGCATGGTCAGGAGTTTTCTGGTCGCTCGATCGATGGCTCCGTAGGTGACCAATCGATAACTCCGAAGCTGTAGTTAGGACAGGGGTGGCAAGGCTGTTGAGGGCAGAGATCTTATTTTTGTCGGACAGCTCGGTCTTCAGTACGAGGCGGACTCTGCTTTTGTATTCTGTCGTTAGTCTTTGCTTCGTGCGCTTGACAGCCACGGAAGAGTTCTCTTCCACACCGAGGTACTTATAGGTGTCAGGGGTTGTAAGCTCTCGGAGTTGTTCGTCGTTGGTGGTGGTGATATCTCCCATAGGGGTGAGGACTCCGCGGTGGATAGAGAGCTTCGCGCACTTGTCGAGTCCGAACTTCATGCAGATGTCTTTCGAGAAGATGCTGACGAAGTTGAGGAGGCTTTCGAGCTGTTTCTCGTTGGAGGCGTAGAGTTTCAGGTCGTCCATGTAGAGAAGGTGGTTCATGCGATGGTCTGCATTCTTCCCCTTTCCTACGTAATAACCACAATCAGTCCGAGCTAGCTCAGTACTGAGAGGGTTGAGAGCCAGACAGAAGAGTAGAGGAGATAGCGTGTCTCCCTGGAAGATCCCGCGTTTGATGGAAATCTCGCGTGTTGTCAGATTGGAGTCCTGTTCCTTGAGGGACATGACCGTCTTCCAGCGAGGCATCGTCTGTTCGAGGAAGTTGACCACCACAGGGTTAATGTTGTATATCCTGAGGCACTCGATGATCCATGAATGGAACACCGAGTCATATGCCTTCTGGTAATCGATCCATGCCATCGAGAGATTCTTCTTCCTGGTTCTGGCATCATCCATGACCATACGGTTGGGTAAGAGCTGTTCCTTGCAGCCGTATGATCCTTTCCGACAACCCTTTTGCTCTTCCGACATGATGTTGTCATAGATGTGTCGTTCGATTCGTGCCGCTAGGATGGAAGACAGCACTTTATAGACGGTTGGCAGGCAGGTGATAGGCCTGTAATTCTTAGGTAGTTGGGTCTCGGCGTTTTTCGGCAGTAGATAGGTGACTCCTGCCGTGAGCCAATCCTGCATCTCCGAGGGGTCCGTCACTTCTTTCTGCATTTCTCTGGCGAGTTGTTCATGTAGCGATGTTAATTGCTTCAGCCAGAAGTTCGGAAGACGGTCGTGCCTGGGGCTCTTCCAGTTCGCTGTTTGTTTGAGTGCCTTCTGCAGATCAGATGTTGTAATCTGGGGGTCGCTCATTTCGGGAGTATCTGTTAGCTCCCTCTGACGTCGGAGCCATGTGGCATCGACGTTGTGACTCGCCGGGCATTCCATGATGTTCGAACAGAATTCTTCCACTTCCGCCTTGCCAGGAATCTTCTTTACTTCTATGGGTTTCGCTCCCAGTTCCCGGTAGAATAGCTTCTGGTTATTCGTGAAGCGCTCGTTATGCCGGAAGTAATTGACCTTTTTCGTGTACCGCCTTATCCTCAGGGCCCAAGCTTGGATCTTCATCTTCACGTTCTCTATGGCGGTCGGGAGATCGGCATCGGAGGTGATCTTGTACTTGNTATATCATCCTTCCATGGCACCTGCCGGTATTTTGGAGATATGAGGGGGGATGAACCACATCCCAGACCTCATACTCGCCTAATTCTGAAGGACACGCGAAGGATGCTGGCCGTGCCCAAGATTGCTGTATGCTGGAGGATATCCAGTGAAATTTCACACTCCAGCTTCCTGACGTGTCCCTTGAGGCCTTTCAGGACAATGCCAGTTGTGCCTATCATGATCGGAACGATGGTGGTCTTCATTCCGCACAACTGTTCCACTTCCACTCTTAGTTCGGAGTATTTCTCCAGCTTCTCCCTTGTCTTCTCTTGGAGGTTGTTATCGGCTGGTATGCTCATATCTACGAGGAGGGCGGTCTTCTTCTCCTTCTTATAGGTCGTAAAGTCCGGCCTATTGCAGCTTATACTGCGGTCTGTAATTATAGGCATGTCCCATAGTATCTTGGTGGAGGCGTTCTCCACAACAGACTCTGGCTGGTGTTCGTACCACTTCATTGGGACTTCCAGGCCGGCATGCTTTGAGACACACCAAAACACACATATTTGCCCACTTGGTCCTGACTGTACAAGTACTCCCTCGGGGCTAGTTCGGGGCAGGCACTGAGGAGGTGGTGAACCGTTACGGGTGGTTCATGAAAGCATCTGCAGCAGGCTTCCACATCCAGCTTCAGGATGTGCTTTTTGTAGTTACGAGTTCTAATGCACTGGTTCTGAATGGCGGGGATGTTGCTCTCTGTCTCGGCAGTCAGCAGTCCCTTCTTCAACCAGTTATAGCTGACGTCCGAGTCGATAGATGGTTTATCCATGATATTGGGATGCTGGTCGTGAAGCGGTTTCTCCTTCCATTGTGCTTCTCTTTGTCCTTGATCTGCCGTCTTCACATCCGTCTTGTCGCAGTCGTCATGGAGATGGAGTGCGTTTCGGAAGCGGGTGGCATCTCCCTGGATGGAGTGGGACTTCTTCAGGGCATCTCGCTCTCTCAGGATGGAAATGAGTCTTCCATGGTGGACACCACGCCACATTTTACAACCTAACTCATGATCCAGTCGATTCCATCCAAACTCCTGAGAAACGTCATACCAAAATGGCACCCATCATGAAAAATGTGCATTTTCTGATTTTGCCTGCGGCAACAGTTCAAGATTACCGCAGCAAGAAAAAAGAGGAATGGACCAACGTGCAAGCAGCCAAAAGGATCAAGCGCAGCCACTATTGGTCTTCGAAAAAGGGAAAATTATTCATGGTGAGACCCGTTCGACACGAGATGAAGGAAGTGGTTCTAAAAAAATAAGAAATGACATTGAAGATTATATGAATGATAAGCTGTGCGATTGTCCTGAACTTCGTGTGAATAAATATATACTGAGATGCGGATTAAAGAATAATGTTTTCACAGAAAATAACAATTCTCTTAGTTTGGGCCTCCAGTGTGTTCCCCAGCGTCGAATAACCTATTCTGATAAAGATAATCCTCACATGACCATGTACTTCAGTTAAAAAGGTCGAACATACAAAAAATTAAGTAAAAACCACGGTGGAGCATTTTTCACATGCTACGCAATTTGACCATTGCATCAGGGTAGATGTGAACATGATATTGTCGAATTTATCATCGCCACATACGGCTGGCCACATTCTGGACACATACGGCTAAAAATTAATCATGATTGCGTCACCGTTGTTTCCCTCAACGTCGTCGGAATATGTGCATGTTTAAAAATCAATAACTTTGTAATGAGGCAAATCGAGGAGGAAATTTTTATACCACGCTGTAACTGGTGCTTTCTAGTATCAACAAGGAAGAAATGAAGAAAATCAAAGATGGATTTTTTGAGAAAAAAATTTTCTTTTTCAACCTTTTTTCGGAAATTGACAAAATTTGCAAATTAATATTAAATTAAGCATTAATGATATAAATGCCAAATGTATGTAGTTCATGAAAATATACTTGATTCAAGATGGGCTACAAATTTAGCTGGCAAATAAATTCAGGAAAAACCAGCAAATTCAGCAGTTTCGTCTCTTTTTAAAATTCAAAATTACGTATTTATAAAATTATAACTTAGGTTTTTCTCAAATGCTTCCACAAGACGTACATTCAAGTATGCGAGAAAAATTTTTCAGGATTCTATGCCTATTACTTTAGGAGATACAGCAAATTGAAAGTGGGAGAAAACAGGAATTTCACAAGTCGCCCTTTTTAGAGCCCTGCACTTGTGAATTTTTTTCTCCGAAACTACTCCAGATATAGAGGAAAATAAGATACCATTTTCCATCATTTGAAAGTGGGGATCA